TTAGAGATATATTTTAATTTATATACAAGGCTATTTTCCTTACAGATGGTAGAAATCCTGTTCCATTATGCAGATCGAGCTCTGAAAAAGTGTCCAGACCAAGGAAAAATCCAGGTGATGGAGCAGCATTTTCAGGTATGCCTTTGCTTGTGCCTCTAATAGACAATGCTATGAATAGCTCTACTATACTGCTCTTCTATATTACTTGAGAATGTGACTTTCATGTTTTAGTTGAATATTTTTTAGTATTCAAAACTTTACTGTGGCAGGTGGAATTCTAAATGATTAAATTTTGAAGTAATGGGTATACAGTCAACTGGAAACAGATGAGTAAAATGTTGTGGAGTGATAGTGCTTAGCCACATAGTACTGTGTGGAAAGAAAGGAGATATATATATATATGAAGGTACATACCTGTAAATTGACACCTTATAGTGGCTGACACCTTGTTGATGACTAACATTTATGTTAACTAGGCTATTCAGAGAAGAGGTGTACTGCCAAGGTTTAAATTTAGTTCTACTAGGAGCACCTGTGACTCAAGAATAGCTCAGTTACAAAAAAATATCTCTAAAATATGCTAATGAAAGACCTTTAGTTTATCCTGGAACTTAATGAAAATGAAAGCCAAGGAATATTTTAAAGACATGTATAGTATTTATTATGTGGGTTTTACTATTTGCAGTGATCTCCAATTATATTTTTTGCAAATCTCTGTTTTTCCTTCTCCATCCCTACTGCTCCCTCCTCTTTCCCTACCTCCCCTTTTGTTATTGCTATATAGGGTACATGTGAAATTTTGTTACATGCATAGAATGTATAAAGATCTATACAAATTTTGGGATTTTTTTCCTATTTCTGTGAAAAGTGATATTGGTATTTTGATACGGAATGCATTGAATCCATAGATTGCTTTGGATAGTATAATATGATCATTTTAATGACATTTCTTATGATCCATGAGCATGAGATGTCTTTCAGTTTGTTTGTCTCCTCTTCAATTTCTTGCATTAGTGTTCTGTAGTTTTCCTTATAGAAGTCTTTTACCTCCCTGGTTAAATTTATTCCAAAATATTTTATTTTATTTTATTTATTTTGTAGCTATTGTAAATGAAATTGCCTTCTTGATTTCTTTCTCAGCTATTTCGTTGTTGGTGTATAGAAATGCTACAGATTTTCATATATTGATTTTGTACCCTACAACTTTACTGCATTTATTCATTAAGTCTAAGAGTTTTCTGGTGGAGTCTTTAGGTTTTTCTAGATATATTATTATATCAGCTGCAAAGGAGGACAGTTTGCCTTCTTCTTTTCCAATTTGGATGCCTTTTATTTCTTTCTCTTGCCTGATTGCTCTGGCTTGAACTTCCAGTACTATACTGAATAGGAGTGGTGAAAGTGAGCATTCTTGTCTTGTTCCAGTTTTTAGAGAAAAGACTTTCAGCTTTTCCCCATTTAATATGATGTTGGTTGTGGGCTTGTCATATGTGGTCTTTATTATGTTGAGGTATATTCCTTTTATGGCTAGTTTGTTGAGAGTTTTTATCATGAAGGGATGTTGCATTTTATCACGTTTTTTCTATGCCTATTGAAATAATCATATGGTTTTTGTCTTTCATTCTATTGATGTGATGTATCACATTTATTGATTTATATATGTTGAGTCATCCTTGCATCCCTTGGATAAATCCCACTTGATTATGGTCTGTTATCTTTTTGATATGCTGTTGGATTCAGTTTGTATTTTTATTGAGCATTTTTGTGTCTATGTTCATCAGGGATATTGGCCTGTAGTTTTCTTTTTTAGTTGTGGCCTTGCCTGGTTTTGGTATCAGGGTAATGCTGGCCTCATAGAATGATTTAGGTAGAATTGCCTCCTCTTTGATTTTTTGAAATAGTTTGAGGAGAATTGGTGTTAATTCTTTGAAGGTTTGGTAGAATTCAGCAGTGAGGCCATCCGATCCTGGGCTTTCTTTGTTGGGAGACTTTTTATTACTGATTTAATCTCATCCTACTTTTAACAAATAGTTGAGTGGTCAGCAAACTTTTTCTGAAAAGAAACAGATGGTAAATTTTAGGCTTTGCAGGCCACAATGGTTTGTGTCACATTTTTTTTCTTCTTTTTGTTTCTCTGCTTTTTTAACAACCATTTAAAAATGGAAAAACCATTCTTATCTGTGAACAATACAGAAACAGGCTTTGGGTAGGATTTAGCCCATGGGCTAAAGTGTGGATTGCCTGGTCTAACATGTACTAGACACTGGGCAATAGTGAGTAAAACATACATGGTCCTTACTGTCTTAAAGTTTGCAGTCTAATCAAAATAATTTTTTGCTTACATTAATAGAAATATTTAGAAGAAATATAGGGATTTTGGAGTTCTGAAGAGCAAGCACAGGTCCTATATTTTCATATCTCTATTTTATGCTCATAACTTTGGAAGGCAAGAATAAATATGGGAAGTGAGAGTTGAGTGGTATCAGAGGAGCATTTGGTTTCCTGGACTGTACTGTTTGATGCCACACTAGTGAGCTTCTGGTGGAGTCACTTTCATTACTGTGTTTGGCTAGAGGCTTATTAAGTTTATCAGTAGAGAAGGAAAAATAAGCCCAGATAAAATTATAAAAATAAATAACGTAAGAAGAAAACATATGGCAGAAAGAAAGCATTTGGAAACAAAATGGTTTGGGAACAATGCCTTGTATATAAATATTTTTGTGTACTAAGGCAGTATAGATAGAAAAGAAAGCTTAATATTTTAACAAGAATATACCTATTACCAAGAGGCAGTAGGGTAGTATTTATGAAAGAACTCTGGCTATTGGAAGGTATACTTTATTGAAGGAAAAAGAGATAGCCAACAGGGAAAGCTAGAAGGGGAAATGGAGTGTGTGTGTAGAATATAGACACCACCATGTTGTTAGGGATGGGGGGTGGAGGAATGTGGTAGAGAACTTCTTTCTTTCTAAGAGAACAAAGGAACAAAAGTGATATTCTGATGGAGAAATACTAAAAAATCTCAGATGACAGGGACTATAGATGATGGTTTCTGATACAGATTATAAAATTTATAAAGAAACAAACCGTAGTAGTAATGGTAGTAACTGTCTAAATATCTATTAGAAGTCTCACTCTGATATCTGATAAAATTTTTGATTTATCAATGATTTAGTTTCATAGGAGGTAAAAGAAACAATTGAGGGAACCATTATTCTGGACTCAATTTTTTACTAGTGATTGGAGAAGATACTAATGATTGGATAGACTCTTAAGAGAAAAATTATTACTTTAACCGTTAAAATAACAATGAAAAATATATTGAGCATGAATCCTGTATTTTAGAAAGCAAATATTTCAGAAGAAAATATACACACAATCTCACAGCTACAGGCGCCAAAAAAGAACGGGTTCACAAGGAATAGGAAATTTTAAAATTTTGACAAGATAACCATGAACAATTCAAGGAGAAAGTAATGTCGAGAGAAAGATCTGTTTTCAACTCATAGAACATCTACAAATATGGAGAGAGGCAAGTATCATGAACCTCTAAGACTGTCAGAAAGGAGAATGGTATGGTCCAGATTGTGCCCACTGAAATATGAAGGCGTACTAAAGAGGGATTTTTAAGAAAGATTCACTGAACATACACTATATGTCAGGTACTATGTAAACTGTATGACATTCATTTTTATTCTCACAACAACCCCATGGAGTAAATATTGTTTTTATCCTCATTTTATAGGGGAGGAAATTTAGGCTTAGGGAGATTAAGTGACATTTCAAGGTAATATTGCTGGTAAGTGGTGGAGCCGGGACTCAAATCCAGGTCTGTCTGATTTCAAAACCCAGCTCTTAACTAATCAGTGTACTATTAGTGTACTGTTGTTTTTAGAGCCAGCATAGGGAAAACATGGGTGAGAACGGGTGATGTTAATAAATGATCAAGATGATTAGCATCTTAACTATTTAATGCTTACTGTGTGGCAGGGACTGTTATAAACCCTTTATACATATTAACTCATTTAATTCTTAAAACTCTGTAAGGTCGGTACTGTTGTTATTCACACAGAGAGGTTACATAACTTTTTCCAGGTCACACAGTATTAAGTGATAGAGCTAGGATGTGAATGCAAGCATTTGGGCTTCAGGGTTCACATCTGGACTGCAACACTATACCATAGAACAGCACTTCTTATTTTGCCTCCATTTTCATGAGCACAGAGAATGGTTTTAAAGTGGAAAAGTCCAGATAAATATATTAAAGAAAAAAGACGAAGCCCAGCATATGTAACATTTAGTTTCATTATGATTGTTCAAATCTCAAGACTCAGTGGAATTATAACAAAGAGTGCTGTTGGAACAATCTGAGCCAACAAGAATAATTTGTAAGGAACTTTGGATCAATTTTTAAATAAGGCATTCTCGAGTATGTGTGGATGCTTAGGCAGGGGAGACACAGTTTATTTTATTTAGGAGGACACTTTTCTTCTAGAAAAGGTGATCTTCAGCCCATCAGGATGAGTGAAATGCATGTGTGGTTATTCATAATCTGCTGTTTTAAGTGTTTAATCATAAATATAATCATAAAATAATTATATAGATTGACTCTTAAGGTGTATTTTTTTAAAAGAAGAGTGGACTTAACTCTGCTGGTAACCTCAGTGTGGTTTGTGAGCATTTTCTCCAAGTTCACGTCAAAACAACTATGTTAAACTCATACAATTGCCTTTTTGAAGGGAATGTGAGGATAATATATTCCTGGAATGCCTGTGACATAACATACCGATTTTTATTGGCACATTTGTCTAATTTTTCCATTATCCTTGTGGCTGAAATATATTAGTAAATAGTAAATGGATTTACAGCTAGATGACTATCCCCACCCAAAGAATATTATTTAGTGGCTTAGTATTAATTACATTTTAGGGCTCTTTCATACCCAAGATTTTATCATTGGTTTGAATGAAGATTTAGTGCCTGGCTTGTCAAATTTAGATAACAGTAAGAATCAAGGTTCAAAATGATCTCGACAAGAAAGTGCAGTCAAAATCATTATAAGATGAAATTTAACAAGGATGAACATCAAGATTTAGATTCATCAATTCAAACAGTTAAATTTTGTGAGTACTAGATTG